AGGATTACCCTGCCTCTCATGGGGAGACTCGTGCCCATGTTGTGTGAACAACTCTGCACGAGCACCTAAGGAGGCTTACCTCCTTACCAGCCCGTGGTGGCGCGTACGTGTCTCTACTGAGATTTACGAAGGGATTGACAACCTGAAATCCCTTTACGACCGTGCCGGGAAGACTTTCTCCGGCGGTCCTTCTGCGGCACAGGATGTGCCGCGTCGTACTGCTCAATCAGACCCAGTACGTCAACCATCAATTGGGAGCGGGGCTCCCAAGTATCCCAGAACGGGGGATAGCCGCGCCATCGGACGAGATAACTCGTCCGACGTCCGTTCACGTCGCGGTGGTTCAACAGCTGCTCAACTAGATAGCGCTGGCCACCGCGAGAGTCCTCTAATGGAGGTGGAGGAGGAGGAAAGACGCTCTCCACACGATCATGTGGATCGGTGTATACCCGAGAGCTTCTTTGATCGCGTAACGCAAGGGTTACGCGACGATCTCGAACATGAGCGGAATAGGCGTCTCCAAATGGCGGACACTGCCTCGAAGCATCGAGCTGAGTTTGCCTTTGCTCAGCTTGAGAACGAGAGATCTCTGACATCTCTTCATGACGAGCTAAGGGTAGCTCGTGGGATTGTTGATCGGTCTCGGGCTGAGATAACTGCTCTTCAGACCCTTGTTGATGCCCACCATCGGGAGCACAAGGCTCTCTGCGAGATGCTTGAGCGCAAGGGCGTTCTTCATCGGAAGAAGCAGCGTACTGATGGTACGGCTTAAGCCGACCAACGTAAAACGTGGGATGCGTTCGCATCTTACGTGGTAACTCGATCGTGTATGCATTGCCTAGGCGGTGCAATACACGAAATGGGCCAATGTACTTGGGTAGTAGTTTACTGCTACCCAAGTTAGTCACTACATGTTTTGGTAGATTAACCGTAGACAGTAGGACTAAGTCGCCTTTATTGAATAAAAGAGTGTTTGCCCTTCCATTCTTGTCAGCGTTTTGCTTTTGCTTATCCACCGCTTCGGCGATGGAGTCTTGCACAAAACGGACTACCGTTTCACGAGCCAGTATGAACTCATCTGATGACTCGTTAGCTTCAGTGTGATGTGAGCGCACTGCAGCAACATCAACCTTTTCTTCAGTGAGGGCTTCCGCACTCTCACTGGGATCATCTTCTTCAGTGAGGGCTTCCGCACTCTCACTGGCATCATCTTCTTCGATATCGATGTTATCGATATCGGCATCAAACGCAATGACTTCTTCGTCAGAGCGTGATGAGCGTGAACCAATTCGGTTTTTGCTCGCGCGAGTCCCTCCCCCCCTTAAACCAGAGTTACACTCTAGTAAGGTGGGTACACGCGGATGGCGCAAGCCATTCACGTAAAACGGTGTATGTGTCGTGGACGCATGCACCGAGTTGTCGATGGGAAACTCTACCATTGGCAAGAACTCACTCCAACTCTTAAAGGAGTGTACGTATCCTCGAAGTATCTCTTCAAGGACACGATTGGCACGTTCCGTCTGACCATCTGACTCTGGATGATCAGATGTCGACATCTTCAAGCGCGTTCCGAGTGATTTGAACACGGAACGCCAGAAATCAGCAGTGAATCGTGGATCTCTGTCTGATACGAGTTCACGGGGCAACCCATGAAGTCGGAAGATGGTGTCGATAAAGACACAAGCACAGCCACTTGCCGTGATTGTCTCTGGTACAGCCACAAGGTGTACCATTTTGCTGAATCTGTCAACAAATACGAGAATACCCGTATTCCCGCGTGCGTCTTTGGGTAACCCAAAGACGAAATCCATTGAGATGGATTCCCAGCACTCAGCCGGAACCGGTAGAGGCTGTAAAGGTGCACGCAGTGAAGGACTTGACTTCACTCGTTGACAGACTTCGCATGTGCGAATATACTTTTGCACAAACTGATACTGGCGGGGCCAGTAAAAGTCTCGACTTACCGTGAGATATGTTTTCTCTCGGCCACGATGTCCTCCTATAGGAGCATCGTGATACTCGAACATGATCCGCAAACGCAGATCAGTATCATCTGGAATGACAACACGTGGTGTGTCACCAGAAACGGCTGTATAATACAGTTACCCGTTGTGAGTAGTGTATCGATCTGATGCAGATCGATACGCAGACGACAATCGTTTCAACGATTCTCGAGATGGCTGTGAGAGATGTGTCAACAACTTCACTATCTCACCATCTTGGGCGTATGCCCGCCTCACATCATCATACAACGTTATAGATGGGACTGAGGACGTCATAACCGCAACAGTGACTGTCTCACTGTTGGGTTTCGCGACTGTTTCAAAGTCGGGACGACGTGAGAGTGCATCAGCGACGACATTAAGTCGTCCTGGTTTGTACTCGACCGTAAAGTTGTATTCCGCAAAGAATGACAACCACCGCGCCATTCGTTGTGAAAGGTGCGGGCTGTTCACTTCCGTGCGTAATGACGCATGGTCAGTGTAAACAATGAAGGGTTTATCTCCTAATAGATAGACTCTGAACTTCGCGAGTGCATACTTCATGGCAAGGAGTTCCTTGTCATGCACTAGATAGTTCCGCTCAGCTGGTTGAAGCTGACGCGACTGATAGCAGACGACGCGTTCAACGCCTTCAAGATCGTACTGCATTAATGCACAGCCGATTGCGAAATCGCTGGCATCACAGACCACATGAAATGGCCTGTCCTGATTGGCAATTGCTAGGACTGGGGATTGTATCAAGCTATGCTTGATACCATCACAGGAGCGCTGACATTCAGCGTTCCATAACCACCTCTCGTTCTTTTTCAACAAACGAGAGAGGTGTACAGTCATCTCGGCGTAATTGCGTGAATACTTATGCAAATACGCCGCTAGCCCAAGGAATTTTCGAAGACCTTTGACATCAACCGGCACAGGCCAGTTGGTGATCGCCTTGATCTTTTCGGGATCAGGACGTACACCGTTCTTACCAACGATGCACCCAAGAAGTGGTATTTCGCTTGCTGCAAATATACACTTCTTGAGGTTTGCATACAATTGATGCTTTCGCATGATTGTAAGAATCTGTCGGACGTGGTACCTGTGAACCTCAACATCCGACTTTCCATCCATAGCCCGACTATGGATGAATACGTCATCGAAATAACTCGGCGCGAATTCTCGTACTGGTCTCGACAGATGTGATACACATCTGTTGAACGTGGCAGGGGCATTACTGAGCCCTTGTGGCATTACTAGCCATTCCCAGAGCATGCTGCTAGGCGTGCTAACTGCGGTATAGGGTATATCCCGTTCCCGCATAAGGATTTGATAGAAGCCATCCATCAAATCCATGGACGAAAAGATGGTGATCTTTGACATACCATCAATGATTACGTCCTTCCTCGGTATCGGCGTCTGAGCCGGTACCGTTGCAGCGTTCAATTTGTTAAACGCGTGCACTATCCGCCACCCTCCTGTTGCTTTTCGCACACAGAAGGTCGGAGAGCTATGTGGGGAAGTTGATTCCCTCACATGGCCCGCTGCTAAACGATCGGCAAAGAACTTGTCGATCGCAAGTACTTGTTCACGAGGCAGTGGCCACTGCTTCATGACACAGTACTTCGAGCCTGGTTTAAGCTCGACCTCGTGTCGAATACCTTTATCCTTCGGTAATTCGCACGGAACAGTTTCAGGGAATACATCCTTGAATTCAACCAAATCTTCATAGAGAGGATTTTTCTTGAGCGATTCCCATGATTGGGAGTCATATCGCTCAATTCGTGTCTTTTCATCTAGGACACTCTCGTCCATAGATGAACTACTGAGAACTCTCTCGTTCTCAGTGAACACTGTTGCTGATGTCGGTTACACACTCGTCGTCAGCGACGAGTATGCAGATCTGCTTGACTTTGCCACTACGCAGATCACGCAAGAACCTTTTATGTTCGAGCGTTGGCAACTGAGTGATCTCCGAAGTTAACTTCGGAGGCGCAATCAGATCAAGTTTATAAGCGCCTACACTTGATCCGGTATTGACTATGACATTCAATGTCTCTGTCATTTCCTGGGGACTTATTCCCTCAGGCTTCGAAGGACTTATTCCTTCGTCTTCCCGGGGACTTATTCCCGCGGGTTTCGGGGAACTTATTTCCGCCGTATTTGTATTATCGGGACTTATTCCCTTTACTTCCTCTAGCTGGGGTTGCGCAACCACAGCGAGATCCTCTACGAAAGACTCTCCAGTCGATCTAGGATTATCGTTTCGCTTAACCTGAGCGATCGATTGTTTCTCTTCTAGATGTTCCCCGCTAGGGATACATCTTTGTCCCAGTCCACCCGACTTATTCGAGTTGTGGACCTTCGGCGCAGCCTGTGTTTCCTCACAGCCGCCGGAACTTTGCTCCGAAGTGTAGCCGTTTGGTACACTAAGGTTTTGTGCAGTCGTACTAACGATCGTACCACAAGTGAGGCCATCGCACTCACTCGTAGTACATCCACACGCTTGTGGACGCTCCAAAACGTTCATCAGATGGCCATCTGATGAACAAGCGGCAGGCATCGTTACTGTTCGATGTTGCCAGTTTACCCGTGGTTCGTACCTTCTGAGCCACGGTATTCCAAGGATGACATCAAATTTGTCATCCAAATCCAATACGATAAAGTCATCGTCATATTGGGTATCTTCTAGCGTATAGTGGATCTTCACTATACGCTTCACGACGGTTACGGATGCGCCTGTCGCAAGACGTACCGTCATCCTCGTAGGAGGTGTGTCACATTCACTGAATTTAAAGTGACCATCTTCTAGCGATTGGCGTCGCACAAAATTGTTGGACGCCCCACAATCGACTAGAGCTCGAAGGGACAACTTATTCGTCACTTCGAGTTTCAAGGTAATGAGTGAGACCTCATTACATAGAGCAGCAACGCACAACGTTTGTGTGTTGGGAGCAACCTTCATCAAGAGGCCTACAAATTCTCTTGACGTTGCTAGACCAGTTGGGTGCTCCGCACCTACTGATCCTGTCCGTTTTTTGACGGTCCATCCCGTTGTTGCGTCTTTGCACCAACTGCGGACCCTCGTCCCTGCCCCTTTCTCATGGGTGGACGGTCACTACGCCCAGTGTCGCGAGACACTGGACGAGGGGCACTACACTCGTAAGCGTAGTGTCCTGTCTTTTGACATCTGTTGCATCTCTGCAACTTCTTGTAGCCTGTAGAGCGAGCCTTCTCGCTCTCTACATAACAGAGTTCCATCGGCTCTGGACCTCCGTTGTCATGTCGTCTCGGTTGACGGTATGATGTCGAGCTGGCGCGAGCCTGTCTCAGACTGAAGTCTTTCTGCTCCGCAATGGAAATGGCTTGTTCTAGTGAATCTAGTTCAAGCTGGAACAGGTGAGTCTTGACGGGACCATCCGCAAGACCCTGCATGAACACCGAAACCAACGTGTGTTCATCCACCGGATTGGAACTTATACAACTCGTGAGATGTCGTATATGTTGTGCTTAAGCGTGCACATCACGCTTACCCTGTTTGAGCTTCAAGAGTTCGGTTCGAGCCCTGAACTCAGCTCTAGGCGGTTCAAACGTTTATCTGAGCCGCGACTTGAAGACTTCCAGCGACCCAAACGCATATGGGTCGTGCAACTTGAGCCCCAGTGCCCAAGTCTTGGCACGTCCTGCCAGATTTGACTGGGCAAATGCAACTTGCATATCCCCGTCGTCGATGCGACGCGCCCTTATGGCGTCATCCAATTCGACGAACCATCTCAAGAGGGAGTCTTCTTCGACCCCCCTATACTTGGAGATGTCAATCTTCAAAGTCTCGGGTCGACGCGAGTGCATCGACCCGCCAGCAGCAGCCTGCTGCTGTCTCAACAGTTCAAACTGTTGAGCATTCTGTTCTCTCAACAACTCTGCTTGTTGAGAACCTTGTTGGTGAAGCAAGGCTACTTTCTCGCGTTCGGCGTCAAGTTCATTTTGAATGAACTTGGCGATAGTAGCATGTTGGGCATCTCTATTGAGAGCCTCTAGCATGATGCTAACAGCATGGATGCCCATGGTCGAACCCATTCGTTCAACCGCATCCCATCCGACATCGCTCAAATGGGAGTAGCCGTCACGCGTAGCGTGAAAGCTTTGGTCATCTTCATCTTCCAACATATTCATGTTGGATGTGAACGCGGTCCTTGGACGGACTACGAAGTGCTACCAGGTGTAACGGGGCACCCTGAAGCTTGTACTGGTGACAGTACAAGCTACTTATTCTGATGACAGAATAAGGCGGTGCCTCGTAACTTCACGTACACTGGTACGTGCAGAGGAAGACGGTAAGAAGAAGCGAGTACTCGGTTAGAGTAAAAAGTAGAACTGTATTTAGTATAGTTAATGTCTGCAATAAATCACTGTTTATCTTCATCTAACTATGTCTAAATACAAATGTGTAAATCAGTTATCTGCTCACCACTCATTGCGTGCGTCTGTCGTGGCGCGTCTTCGTTGGTTGATATAATGGCCTATATCAACCAATTAGGAACTACTCGTAAGTGCTACAGAATATTTGTCCTTATGACAATATTCTGAGAATAAAACTCTTATAGTTATATTCTATTAACAATTTCTTATAAATTGTTATGTAACGATTCACCCCGTTACATTCAAGGTGAGTAGTGTAGGAGAACATGATGACTTGAGATGCATTAACAGAGCAGTCTTAACAACATATATTCACTTCTCATTTTAACACGAAGTCGACCAACGTGAACGTTTCTCTGCAAGCCATGAGCGTGTCAAGCTTTTGCTGATGAGCGTCTTAGCATTTGCGAATGTGATCATGTTCACCTTTGATCGATTTTAAGCCAATCACTATCGCGTGCCTCAATCGTGACCTAGCCAAAAGAGTGACATCGGATATACCTAATACTTATGAGGATGGGACAGGCTAGACCGCACTCAGTACGTGTAAGGTACATCTAGCCGCATAATTTACAAAACAGACTAACAGACAGGCAGATAGATAAGTACGATTTTAAAGTTCGGCAAAAACAACGCTATTTCGACCACATTGAACAACATCATTTGCTTCAAATCCAACGAAAAACTTGCGAGTACTCATGACATTGTGGCTTGACGATTGCGTGAACATGAACAGCTGTATCGTGACGCTTGAAGTAGCTCGTACGAGGCGAGTTGTTGCAGCCGCTAGACAGGAGGTCACCACGCATCTGCAGCTTCCAGAGGCAACGTGTCGTGACTTATCGTGTGGACATAAGCTGCCACGCTACTGTTCATCAAATCAGGCGCTAGCACCGCCTACTCTCGCCAAGCGGAACCTGACTAGTCACCGGAGACTCTCGTCCCGTCGAAATGTGCCGTGGCGGGAGCTGCACAGATGTCCGAGCATAATGCTCAAGCGCGCACGTAGATACCTTCAAGCTGCTGCACATACGTGCACGTGGCTTTCCACAAGCAGAAGCTGCTGGAAGCCTCGAGGGGACAAACGGTCCTTCTCCACGCACAAGACTGAGAATCAGTGCGCTGACCGCAAGCTGAAACCGTGTTTCTTTGCAGTAAGGCGACGCACAATCAGTCAACTGCGACAGCGAGTGCAGTACCCAGAGGCTTGGTGCTTTTTACCATGAATCCGCGATGCTGAAAGCAGGCAAACGAGCTTGGACGAGCACGACGATGTGGACGAGAAGTGGATGTCAACGGACGTCTTTCGTGCACTACGGAGACAATGGATGCTCTGCGGACGTTCATCTGCGATCGATCAAGTAGTGGTCTTGCGAAGCTTGGACTGCTGGTTTGCTGCTGCTTGCCACTGTAGTTCGATGGTACCAAACGGTGATGGATGATGAGCCAATGTACGTCGGAAGTTGTGCGAGTCAAGGCCAGGCTGACTCACGAAGCATAGAGGGACCCGTAGCTGCGTTCATTCTGTGGTGAGTGTATTGCTTGGGTCGTGGTGGATCAGTCTGCATTTTATTTGCGCAGCAGCACCGCGCCGGTCACTGCGATAGCGGCAACAGCAGCGACCACGTAATGCAGCAACTGGTCACTACGCAGGCAGGATCTGGGCTTGCTCATAGGATGGCTACACGCCGCTGTCCGGAAGAACAGCGGCTTGCCTGTAACCGCATCAATCAGCGCTTCGTCTGCGGACAGTACGCGCGTACCACCACCAACACGAGACACGTACATCGTCTTTACGCTGTCAGGGAGATGCGGCAGCTCAAAAGTCTCCTTGCTACTGCCACACGCTTTCGACTGCATCCGTTCAAGCAGCGCGCGTGACGGCGTGCAGTCAAAATGCATCGAGGCCTTGATCGTCATGTTCAAAGAGTCGGAAAAGCAGTGGCATACGAGCGACACGAGCTCCTGCGCGTGCTGCTCCTCGACAAAGAGGACAGCATTCGGCCCCGCATCGAAGGTGTAGGCTGCCTGTACCCGACCAGCTTGTTCGTTGTAGCGGTGCACGAGTCGGATAATTTCTCGTGAAGTCTCGTTCAAGTAGAAAATTGGCGGCATCGAGTCGAGACAAGTGGCGTGGAACTGGTTACTGTCTCGCATCGTGAGCGTCCCGAACGCTGCAAAGTCCTTCGCCAAGATGGCTTCCTCCATCGTCTTCATGCGATCGGCCACCACGTGCTCGACCCGGTACGCCAGCAGAGGACTCGTGGCCTTGGTCCTCTGCATGCCGCGCGTGCTGCTCGTGTCCTTCTGCTGGTCACTCACGACGCACACGACGGCACGGAGCTCCGGCCAGTGCAGCGAGTCAGCGACTGGCACCGCGACCGAGTCCCGTCCGTCGCTCCGCTGTCCCTTGTGCCACGCCACGAAGCCGCCGTGCAGACTCCTGCAGGCCGACCCCGAGCCTTGCCGTGCGATAGCCGACAACTGGCCTGGAAACTCCTCGTCTGCCGTCGAGAGGCGGTAGAACTCAGCCAACGCGGCCACGAGACACGCGTAGCCAGCAGCAGACGAGGCGAGTCCCGCCGCCGTCGGGAACGAGTTGCTGGACACGATAAGCAGCGGCTGCTGCGTCTCCTGCGCCGCTTTATGCACGCGCTGGGCCAGCTGCTGCATCTCTCGCACCACAGTCGTCACGCGGCTGTTGAGGGGCTGCTCCTGGCCATTGAGCCACAGCCGCGTGCGGCTCAGAGCTGATCCACTGGCAACGGACGTCGTGGCCCGCAGTTGGTCTTGGTGCAGCGTCACGCTGAGACTGGAGTTCAGGGGCGTGTTGAGCACCGCGTCGGTCTTGCCCCAGTACTTGATCACGGCGATGTTGGTGGGAGCTGCACACGTGACGACCTTCATCTTGGTCTGGCGCTTGAGAGGGAGTCGGGATGCCTTTCAGCCAGTCAATTGATGCGCTCAGGGAAGCGGATGGGGACCTCGTGACAATTGTTGGATTGGATTGTTGTTGCGGTTCGATTGGTACGAGATGTCGCGGTCAGTAACGATTCGATGCAGACGATGTGATCCGAGATTGAGATGGGCGCTCTGAACGCTTCATCAGGGCCGGACTGCTATAATCTGTCCTTTTCAAGGCAGTAGAGCTGTTGTAGGACTGTACAAACAAAGAGAAAAAAGGTCTGTCATTCGACTGTGTGACAAGGAGGCAAGAGATCAGTAACGTTTGCACCAGACTCTTGACACTGTCGGCAACTTTTACTTCCAAAAGCTCTTTCAGCGATGACAGACATGCCATTAACGAAACATGAACCACAAAAGTGCTCCGTCGATTCGACACATACGTCTCCGCACGTCGAGTTCGCAAGGGAAAAATGTACAACACCAGTAGTCGACAGCGTTCGAGTCGAAGAATTGTGCATCCAAGTCCAATTTCTATTTGCCATACAGTTATTTGGTACCGGTCATCGCATGACCGCGGAACAAGGAGCAATGCTTCGACTTGTTGCAACACTTCTTCGTCACGACAATGAACATACCATAACGCGGCTTCCGTTTGGACTGTCACACACCCTATTGTGTTCCGTTCTTCATTGCAGCCTGAAATCTCTCCAGCTGTTGGACGCCTTCCATGGCGAAACGCCTGAGATGCGTCTCCAGTCCAGAAAAGCTCATGTCTGCGAATTTCTGTGTGTAGAAGTGCTCGTTGCCCCGAATGTCGCGCTCGCCGTAACACCGTTGCCACTCGGGAAATTCTGGCTGGGCCGAGTATGACTCAATCCTGTAATGATTCCAACGCGACGAGTTTCGAAATGACCACAGATGCGTCCAAATAACTGGATCCGGTAAATTGTCGGGTTCTAAAGGCTCCAATGTCGCCAATCGCTTTCGCAGTGAGTGGCCCTGCTTGCCTTGTGCCACCGCATGATAGAGTACATTAGATAGACGTTGGCCTGGTTGCTTCATAGCGATACTCTTTTGTAGACTGACTCCGTAATTTACATTGTAACGTTGTCGTCGCCCAGTCAGTTTATTGGCATTGCGGTGGAGGAAAAGCACGTTCCCACCAGAATCGTGCTGAACCATCGTCATACCACAGAACGACTCATTCACAAGCTTGCCAGCGACTGCAGGTGGGGTCTGGACCATGAAAAACGGAGCGTTCAACTTGATCCAAGCGAATCGAAAAAGGTCTTTGTCCCCCCACACCAGATCGAGACGCTTAAATAGGTCAGGAGTATGAGAAGCGTAGAAGTGTACAAGCTCCATGGCGGCAGCATGGCGTCTTCGATCAATCAAGAGCTGGCCACTTTCCTGCTCGAACATGTCAACGTACTGCATGTCCAGCATTTGCCACAACAATGAGTCTTCGACGAGGTGAAAAATAGTGTGCTGCGGGTGCCAATAGTCCGGCCAAAACACAGCTCCAGTTCTCACAAACTCTTCAGACTCGAATAAGAACGCCGGGTCACGCACTGGAACGTTATCCGCATCCAGGAACAACACGTGATCGAAAGCACTATTGTAAATCGCATGCACCTTTGCTGCGAAACGAACCGCACGCAAATCATCAATCGCTCGAAATGTGACCCCATCCATTGCATCCACCTCTGCAGCCTCTTTTAATAGCTTGAGCCCAGCAGGCACAGTCTGCATCTCATCCGGTCGGAACCAGATTTCGATCGGTAATTGACAACGCAACACCTCTCTCAGTGTGCGAATCGAAGCATATGCGCCTGCTAGGAGTTTCGGGTACACAACCATGACAATACCTGCCCGTACTGCCTCGGTTTGATTGCTGTTCAGCAGGCTAAAACCAGGTGCACTGACTTTTTCCACCACTTGGCCAATCTTTGCGGGGAAATTCGCGAAATCCGGTGCAAGAGAGCAAAAAAACTTGGCCCTTTTCCGGACTGTGCCACACCCACGCTGCATGACACGGAACCTCTCACCGGTCTGGACGTCTTCAATCTCACAATAGCCGGACGCAGTGTGTTCGACCCGTTCGTCGCACACTTTGTCATTCGCCACATCACGAGCTCCGTCTGCACTGCAGCTGTGCGTGGCTCTCCATCCGATGCACTTGAATTGGCGTGTCTCCAACGCTTCACGCAAACCGTTCTTGACGGTTGCTGCACGGGCCTCTGTCTCCAATACTTCGAGTGAAAGGCTCTGGACTGTTGTCGCATGAGCTTCTGCCTCCACTTGTTCGGGCGTAGAAAAGAAGTACTGTTGACTAGATATCATCCATACTACTATCAATATCGCGTAGACTAAAGTAGCCGATAGTATCAGCCGCAGGACAGTTGGCCTGGTGGACGACAACTTGACAAGCGAGTCCGGCATTGCGTTGAAGCTGTGGTGGTGAGCACTCTCAAGAGCGAAGGTGAAGCACGAAATGGCTGGACGAATCTCGACCCCCCGAAAACCTACGGACAAGCCCTTCGCCAATGAGAACGTAGCGAGTACACGCGTCAAGATGACCAAGTGATCAGGCCTTTCGCGAAAAATTTGACAGCGCACTGTGCCTCTACAACAAACGTGCTCGGCTAATAATACCCTACTGACCAGAGCTGACACGTGTATGCGAAAAGCGATGCTATTAATGTTGTAGGATGTTGATTCTTTGGCACGTATGTGACATTCGTGCTTTGCTTTTCTGCTGAGTGCGCACTTGCGGATCTCCTCGTAGCGCTGGGCATTGCGAGACAAGACGCTTTTTCTGCAGAGGAACTGTTTCGTGATGTACGTTCGTGCGCAAGCTCGATTCTAGTGACACATTCATTTAGGGCATGAAGCCGCAATACATGTAGTGATCGCGAGGCGGTAGTCTCGTTGTGTCCTTGTATTAGAGCTTTGATTGTGATCACAAGTGGGTCGATGCCTCATGCTGCCCTGGAAGAGCTGCTGACCACGTAAAATTTTGGACATAGCAAGGCGGCATAGCTGTCGTGAATCGGATGAGTTCTGCACTAGAACCACTTTTAGAGGCTTGTGTACAGCAATGCTGACTCTATCGCACGTCGTTCGTAGCCACGCAGCTCATGGCTGCCTAAGGGCCGCGACTATCTATCATTACAAGACTCTGCTACGTGCGCCTTGGTATGTTAATCGTAGCTATCACGGGAGATAACTGATTGTATCGGGGTGAGTCAATTTAATTAAATTGACATCAGCTTAGATTTCAATGGACGCAATTTTATTGTAAATAGTTGCAAGCTCCCCTATCTTTTTACTGTACACCACGGTCGTACCGGACCTCCAAAGATTTACTGGTTTATTTGTGTCTGTATGCAAATAATTAGCCTAGGGATAGGGCTCCGTCCCGCGCAGGGTGGGATGGGATGTGACAATCCTGCGTCCCATCCCGAGAAGGATGGGCTTTCTAATTTGTGGGATGGGATGCTGCGGGACGGAGTCCTAGCCCTGGGTGTATTTTACAAGTCGCGCCTAGTGCGATTAAGTTCAACCCCTTCATGTATATGTGAATAAAGCCAGGCATATTTTACATGTCGCACTAACTGCAATGCAGTATTTAATTTTCCGCATAGCTCGATAGGCATTATAAATGTCAATCATTTTATCAGTCCTTCATTGCGTTTGCGAAGGGTGGAATGTTCACACACGCACCGACACCCACACGTGATAAACTAAAAGCGATCAAGGGCGGACAAGGTCTAAGAGCGTGTTCGCTTTTTTAATCAGTACTTTTTGTTAACTTGCATGTAACTCGAGTTGTCTACCCGATTAACGTAATCATCCCTAACTTACTCACATTTGAGGAGTTTCAGTTCAAATATGTTAGCGCCATTATCATTCTTGCCACGCATGCCGCCCGTATCCAGCAAATTTTGGTGAGTATCATAATCGGTATGGATGCAAGCGTCCGTAGTCGATGGGGACGCGTGCTAGACGTGGGTGTAGTCCGGTGGTAACTAGAATGCGTAGTTCTGGAGAGAGGTTGAAGTCACGCCAAATTTGGAGTGGTGTTCTTTAAAATAGAGATATTATAAATCGGTGCGTTTGAGGACGCAGATAGTTCAAATCTGTTCTAAAATAGAAATGTTGCACGAGATGAAGTGGCCCAATGGGGATGCTCAAAAAATCGCTAGACACTAAGGGGCATCGAGTTCTACTTGTAAGGATCATGAACACGCAAGACAGGTTATGCTATCCGTGGACAAGAAAGAATGTACATTCATTCATCCGCATACATCGATCAAGACTCAGGGATCTGAGAACAAGGTCACTCTACAGAAATCAGGTCGTCAGTAAGTAAAAGACATACGTCACCTAAACCACCAAAATAAATCAAAAAAATTAGTAAGCAGCAAAGATATGGAGCGAGACATTACTAGGGCTTTTGGGTGGAGAGGGACTTTTCTCTAATCAGCTCGTAGTGTATACAGCTAAACTTAATTATCTAAACTATACCTCCATCTTCAAGTGGTATCACTTGTTGGGTCTACTTATCTTCGCCCCGTCGCCTACGTCATCTACTTCACCACCTCTGTCACCGTCAGCCTTTTGGTGTTCGACTTTTCGGCTACTGTGGGTATTGCCTTCTCTGTTAACCTTTCGCTGTCTCTCTAATAATTTACTTTTCGGTGTATCGCTTCGATGTTCACTGTAAGACATAGAACCTGCTTTAGCAGATCGATCCACTGAGCGTGTGTGGGTTTTGGTGTGGCTGTCTTGTTTTTTAGTCGGTTTGCGTGTTAGGGCTCTGATAAACCTCGTTACTTCGGTCCGCTTGAACTTCTTAGACTGTTTCAGCCAGCAGCCGTCAGGCAACAGAATTGTGGCCCTGTCATCCAACGTGTATGAGAAAGAAAAAACACGAACGCACAATCAAGATTAACTGTTCAAAGGCCTTCCTCTTCAGCGCTACAACTGAGGCTGCGAATTGCGCCCAGGATCTGCACGAGTCGATCAAGAAGAGTCTACGTATAGTTAAAGCGTCGCGCCGCGAGATGGGGGCAAGGAAAAAGGCTACTTGCCGGAAGAAGTTGATCGTCTCGCCAATCTTCTCCGTGAAATAAACAATCTACTTAGGGAAGCGGAGTGTACTCTGTGTAGAGGCCTTCCTTACGCTGAACTGGGCTTAGAGAAGAAACGGATGATGTCTACGAGAAATTTAGAGCCAACTATTCCAGCTATAATTTATCATTTTGGTAAATTTTATACTTGTCACCATGGCCGACCCCGTCTCAACCCAGATCATGGAAAGTGTTATGCAAGTACCAAAACAATAACAGCAGATGTTATACCACCTAATGCGTCCTCGCATCGGCTCAGGCATTTGAGTAGAAGGAATGAAGTTCATGTATACGCTGATCGCCTGAAAGAATCGATGTGGCTAATATATGATCAGATGGAACAGCATTTACGGCATGAGAAATCAGTTGGCATGACGAAACTATATCCTGACAAATCATTGCCTTCCTTTACCGAAATGAACCGTAAATTTGTTACAGAAGACCTTCAACAGCGTCTACCTGACCATAGGCATTCAATAAAGCAATAATCTAATAGAAATTGGCCGACTATGTTGCTCACCTTTCGTCAGGTCATGGTACACATAAGTGCGATCAATAAATGGTACATTTTGAGCGAGGGTTACGCAGTTCCATCCTCTAAGAAGTGAAGTATCGCCGCCGTACCCTACTGAGTCAGGAAAACACGATCGCGATGGATTATAATCGTTCGCACACAGAACAACGACATGAGCTCCTAAGTTTACGAGGACGTACAGCTCAACCATTTGCGTCTTCTTTGCCCGTGGATGCTCATCCGAAACCAATAGAAATCGACAATGCTCGACCGTTCTGCCCCCGCGGGCAAAATCAAATAAAATTAACAACGGCGACCGCAGTCATTCTGTTGCGACTGCAAAATAAAGGGCATGTCATCGGGCAAATCTTCAAATGACAGAGCCGTGAAATTCCAGCTCCTCGTCGCATACGTTGCAACAACATTAGCCAAGATCGCGAAACTGTCGATTTCTTCGACGAAGTTAATTCTGAGACTGAAGAAGTTTCTGGTATATTCATGAAGTTAGAACCCACGTTAAAGGCGTAAATCCGACCAGCTCCCAGTGACTAATCACTTAAACATGGACGTCTGACAAAGGAAATGCACATTTACTGTTTTACTCGATAGCAACCTTCAATGAAGTCAAACCGGTGTTTTTAAAGCGTTTTATGTTTAAAAAAATTGGTGCAAGTTACGCGTTTTGACGGATCCAACACCACCAAGCGCAAGGTCAACGAAGGCTTGGCCGATATAGACATTGCAGGACGTGTCTTTCGTGACGCTTGAGTCTTCCAGTGGCCAATGTAAAAAACATGACGTAACTCTATGTAACTGATCTCAACCCTATTATTAACTGTAGTACCCATGATGTCGAGTTTTTAGCTCTTCAACCTTTTGAGACAGAGGTCATGACTGTTTCCTTCTCCGACTATAATCGAAAGATTTGAGGCAGTTATCTGCGTGTCTTCGAGCCTTCGGTCATTGCAGATCCAAGTGTTGCATACCGTTAAAAAATACTCGGCCATGCTCCTCCTCCAAAAACTACCCGATGAGCTTCCACTTTATTAACGTGTCGAATTTAAGATGACGATAAAACCAAACGACCTAACGAGCACTCGTCCCTTATTCCGACTTTCGCACACCTAATGAGGGACACTTCACGTAGTTGTCGAAAAAAAAAGATCGCGAAAGGCTGAACCGAATTTTCAACTCTCTGTAGATATCGTTCATTTTCAGTGTACCCAAAAAAGATCCCTTGACGTGAAACGCGTTGTCTCATGCAGAATAAATTCTTTCGGAGGTGTTGCGACAGGTCCAATCGGTGGGAAGTTTTTATGGCCATTTTAGTTACCAAACTGTTGTTTCAACGATTTCCCTTACTCGCATCGCCGAGCTGTTTGATCGAATGCAAGGCATGCGAAATTCACCGTCATTGACCTAGTGCAAGGGTACCACCCTGTTAGTGTTCATCCGGATAAATAAGGTACACGGCCTTTCGTATATCTAACGAGACAGTGGTGTGTCATGTCCATGCGCTTAGCTGGAAGCCTGGTGTTTGGTCGCGCCTGATGGGGGTTTGTTCGGCACATATTGTAACGGGGTGAATCGTTACATAACAATTTATAAGAAATTGTTAATAGAATATAACTATAAGAGTTATATTCTCAGAATATTGTCATAAGGACAATATTCTGTAGCACTTCCAAGTAGTTCCTAATTGGTTGATATAGGCCATTATATCAACCAACGAAGACGCGCCACGACAGACGCACGCAATGAGTGGTGAGCAGATAACTGATTTACACATTTGT